CCCCTCCCGGCCGGGAGGCAGAGGGGGAGAGGAGGATCAAGGGCGGGGGCGGCTGCGGGCACTTGCTGGGGTAGGCAGAAAACTAGATAGCGGGAGTCGCGGCAGCGGCTGCGGGAGGAGAGCGGTGGCGGGGAGAGGGAATCCGCTCCTCCGAAAGCCTGGAGGCAAAGATACCCCTGACTGAAAGCGTTCTGAGGGGACGAGGAAATTGAATGTAATACAATTTTTGTAGTCTTGTTAAAATAATCAAGTACTGAAGGCAAATCTTAGGCAGAAAAGGTAGAGAGATGGAGCCTACTGTTTTGGTTGCCGGATTGAATTTTTTATTTACTTTTCGGTTTTAACCATTGCTAAATGTGGATTTTGTGAGAGAACCCCATGGCGGTTGTTCCATTGTTCCTTGTTTGAACGTAAATCTTAGTTTTGCTGCTCGTGGAATTTTTTGTGTTTTGGTTTTTTTTTTTTTTAAAGGATCTTTCCAGGTAGCTTTTACGCCTGACAAAATGAAGCCTTTGTCTTTTTCAATCAATTACACCTAATATTGACATTCTGTTTGGTACAAGGGACTAAAGTGCTGCCTCACTCAGAGGACCATTAAAGACTTTTTCTTTCGCTACATGTAACTGAATGTGTTACAACACATCCTTTCTCCCCCCCCAATCTTCTGAAATATTTTTCCAAAATGAAGAAATTTAATTTTCGCAAAGTTTTGGATGGTTTAACTGCCTCATCCCCTGGTGGAAGCAGTGGTGGTGGCAGTGGTGGTGGAAGTGGGGCTGGTGGTGGCTCCGTGCACCCAGGAGGGACTGCAGGAGCTGCAGGGACTCCCAGAGATGAGATCCAGGAGACGCTCACTTCAGATTATTTCCAAATTTGTAAGGTAAGGGCTGTAATCTTTTTTACTATGGAAATAAAGGGGGGGGGGGGGCAGTAATATGATACCAATAAGCCTTTTACTTGAGAACTGCAGTGGTTGTACGAGGACTTTGGAATGAAAAGACAAGAGATGTCGTTGATGCTTTTTTCTTCCTGCTGCAGAGTTGGGCTGGTCAGTAAATTCATAAAAATCTTGATTTCAGCATTCAGGGCCAAATCCTAAGTTCATGCTTGGACCCCAAACTAGTAACAAGATTGTGGGCAGGAAAGCAAATCAGTTGGTGCTAGTACAGATAACATTTACAAGTCATTAGAAATTCAAAATTGTATACATCTACTTCCCCTCCTCACTCTTCTCATCCTTTCTTCCTTTCCTTCCCTTTTTTAAGAAAAAGGCACAAGCTAGAAAGAAAAGACAGTGCAATGATTACTGAACCTAGCACTTAAATTATTTGTGAGGGGTTGGATGTAGATTCAGGGTGGTTTTTTAGCATTAGTACTGAAGATTATGATTATATGACAATAAACTTAGTAGGACAGCATAAATACCAAAAGTTGCCAAATTTGTTTGGCATTGGTTTTTATGTGTTGGTTAGGTCCTTAAGTGGGAATTTTCTTTGAGTAGAAAGCATAAGATATCCCTGTGTGTTTTATGTTTTGTATCTGTTTTCTGCAACAGAGCTTTCAGTGGTCTTAAATGCACAAGTAAAATCAGTACAAACTATTTGGTACTTCTGACCAACCCTGGAATATGAAAATCACACTTTTGTAACGAAGACCAAAAACAAAAGGAGAGATTATACTATGATCCTCTGCTGTTATCTTTGACATTAATTCTGTTGGCTTTACTAGAAGTTTTGTTTGCTTATTTGTTTTGCTTAGAAGCTTCAAAACCAGAATTTTTAATTAGTGCAATTTACATTATTAAGAGTAAATGAACTTCACTATTAAGTATACTTTCCTTTTATTAACCAGATACCAGCTGACTTGAAATTTAGGTTATGGCCAACTCTAGCACATTTCTTTTTGTGTTTTGGGAAGAAGGAAGAAATATAAACAAACAAGACCAGCCTATAAGACAGTTTGTGTGCAGATCTGATCCTTGTGAAACACACAGCTTTCCTCATCTCAGATATCATGATTCTAATTCTATTTGGTTTTCAGCTACAGCTAGTGTCAAAACTCTTATATAAGAGTTCAGGGGAAGAAGGATGAGCCCCCATGACTTAAAGAGTCAGAGACCTTTGGAATAGGTTCTACATAATTCTAATTTCTGGAGGTTTTATAGTTCTTTGCCATCCTGAACCAAAACAGGTTCAGGCCTTTTGAGTCAAATTATTCTGTAGTTTAATAGAGTGTCAGTGATCAGTGCATCAGAATCATACCTGTTTCTCAGGGTTGAATTTGACTCCTTTTTCTTATGTACACCGGGATTTAGCATTTTGTGAAACTCCAGATATTCAGTACAGCGATTTCCCATTTTTGTCACTTCAGTAAAAATATAATGCAATTAATCAAGATACATTAACATATCATTAGAAGGTCTGACATTCTGAGACTTCTAAGTAAGTAAAACTCAATATGGTTCTTCATGTTTAAGTCATTTGATAGGGCCAAAGATCTGTATTTAGTATGATATATTTTTATTTTGTATGGTATATTTGCAAAAATAGGCAACATAAGATGAAAATAAATTAATTGTCTGCCTAATCTCCGTTATCTCCCTTCTTTGGCTTGATATTACTTGAAGACAGTTGGTGTTATGTTCTGATAGATCTACTTGGAAATAGATCTACTTGGTGTATAGGAATATGTCATTTTGAGAAGATTTCAGTAGGCAATATTTGCCTGTCTTAGCTCTCAGGTTAAAATGTTGTCAGCAAAGTAAATATTTTTATAGGAAGGCTTTTGGTTGCTTGCAGCAGCACTTGCTTATGAATGCATGGTACTGCAGAAGTCTACTCTATAGTATACAAAATACCAGCTTCCTTTTTTCAGGATACAAAAGTATGCTAAAAGCAAACTTCCAAAACACTCGGTGATTATGTGCTCATAAGATACTGCAATGTTTATTCAACAGGATCTACTTAATCAGCTATATTACAGTTTAGTAACATTACAAGCATGTTTCAGTGAACCAACAAAACCCCACAGGCCCCAATCCTGCGTTATATACTATGCAAGTGTACTGAAGGCAGTGGGACTTGACGCAGGCGCAGCTTTCATCCTGCATGCTTCAGGGTGCAGGATCTGAGCTATAATTTGTACCTCAGTCAATTTGAATTAAATTAAACATACAGCAAGACACATACAATCCAAGCTTTGTCTTCCCTGAGCTTTTGTTGTGGAGAACTTCTGGTATTTCAATTGTGTATTTTCATGTTAAGTTACGTAAGTTACATAGGCTGCATATTTAAGGATCCATGATCTGTGATCCTGCTGCATACAGACCTGAGTAAAGCTAATGGCAGTTTTGGTTTGTTATGATCTGCAGGATCAAGGCAGATGGGCTCACAGTATAAGTAGCACCCCAAACTGGTTTTCCTTTCTTTGCTGATTATAAAAATCTTCATTTAGATACGAAACACAAAAGCTGACTCATACTTAAGAATTAAAGGGCCTTACCCTGCAGTTTTTATTTAAATAAATTGCCTTTCTGAAGTTTGTGGGAAGTCTGCCTGACATAGATCCAGTCCTCTACCAGAACACTGTTTTTATTGGTAACGCACCTGATTTCATTAGTAACACACCTGAAAGCTGTCTCTCCATTTTGTGACATTTTTAGGATGCTTATTATCACAGCGTCTTTTTGAGATGTAGATTAGAACTTAATAGAAGTAAATCAAATATTTCATTTTACACTGACATGTTTGCAATGAGTTACTTTTGGCATTTATATCTAAATAATTAATGTAATCTTCTGTATTGGAAGACTGAAAATGAAATGTTCTTGAAGCTATTACATATGAAGTAGCTACAGCCTTTTTTAAGCATGATAAATTTATATGTTGGTAGCTGTACTAATGATTCAGTGGCACCCTTTTCAAAGTATTCATGTAATGTGAAATTTTGTCAGAACTGTATTTTAAGACAACAGGAAGCTGAGGTATAGTTTATGTTATATCTAGGGCTGCTCTTGGGATTTGGGTATCCAAGTGGAAATCATAAAAATATCAATTATAGTTCACATTAATTGAATTGAATGTGAGAGCAGCATCATGCCAAAAACTAGGCACAATCCAGTAGAATATGTTAGTAAAGTCTATATTAATTTTAATGGGGGTAGGCCCTCAAGGTGCATCCAATCAGTAGTCAATTTAAATACCTTAATTATCTGGATTTCCTATAAGGTAGTCTTAAATTTTAATTCCCAGAGTTTATAGATAGTAATACTTTATTTTGTCAACCTATGAAGATCAACATTTAGTCCCTCTGACAGCAGTCACGTAGGTACTTTAACTGCAAATGCAACATGACGCTACAGTTCAGTGATAATAGAAAGAAAATGAATTTTGGAATGGCAACTTAAGAACAATTCTGCAGTAGCATATAGTTCTATTTTTGGTTATGAAGAATAAAAAAAAAAAAAAATCTTTGTTATAAGCTATCCATAGTGTTTTAGTTAGCTTGAGCTGTTTGGTTAATCCGTGTTGTTTCCTTAGTGGGGTCATTCAGGGAAAAAAAAGAAATGTGTGTGAAGTGCTACATTTCAGAGAAAACCCATTTTAAAATAAGTATTAACCCTTACTTGTAAGTGCTCAGAGTTCATTCGATAATTAAATGATAAATAAGGTAATGGTGGGAAGTATTTTTCCTATATACCAGAGTTTGGATCTAATGTTAGGTGCAAAACCCTATTCTGTTTAAAACTAGAGAGTCATAAATGACACTTTTGTTATTAGATTGTGGTAATTATGTGATGAGCATGTTGTATTTTTCTTTTTTTAAATGGTAGTATTAATTAGAAATAGGACTCCAGTGGTAAAGAGCATACCATGTTAAAAGCTTCTTTTTAAAAAACTTTGAAGATTTTAAGCTACCTATAGTAGTATAACTGGACTCTTTTGTTTTGTTTTTTTGCAAATACCTATCTTTTTGCATCACTATGTTTGATTGTTAATCAAATATTAATCCTAAATGCATTAATGCAGACCCTTCATGGCCAACACATGCAATTACAGCTTCAAGACCATTTTAAGACTTCTAAGATTGCAAAACAAAGCACTTGAAAGTTCCAAATTTCTTAAATTAAGTTTGGTTGCACATACAGCCTTTAATTACGTGTGCCCATGTTTCTTCTATAGGTCTAATTTAGTAAAATGAATAGTGTTTGCTCAATAGAAAGCACTTCAATATTTCTTTGAATACTTAGAACTCGGAGCATACCTGAATATTAAGTTCCCTGTGAACTTTTGCAACAGGAGTGCTCACCACTGTAGTTTTGAAAGCTTTATAAACATTAATGAATTGACCTTCGTAATATTTCTGT